CCTACTCTGCCTGCAGAAATGCTACTGCAAAGAAATGATGTAATAGCTAGGAGGGAAAATGGGCAATTACTGGTAGCACCTTGTAAGACTAATGGAATCACACTCAAAAACATCGAGTTCAATGGAGGATTAAAAGGCAAATTTGAAATCGAGAGAATCAATGCTGAATTGGAACTTGTAAGCCACTATCACGATACAATTAACTTAATATCATATCAACAAGAAGACGACTCTATTTGGGAAGAAATCACAAAGGAAGGACAACAATTGGCAAACCAACTAGTGAAAGAACTCGACCAAGTCGAAGATTCGATACAAGAAAAATTGAAAAACGTAGTGAATCACTAAAGGCTCCGTTATTAAACTTAATACATTTTCATATGCACCTAGGAACTCTCAGTGAACTTCCCCATTAATTCTTTTCCTCTCTTCCCGTTGGGAGTGTCGCGAATTCCGATTCGCGAGACTCCAACCATACAAATATATAATCAAATAAATTTCTTATTGTAAATGAATATGTCCAGTGTTATGACTCATTTAATTAATTCTACATTCCTTAGATTTATTTCCATGTTTTTTCGGTCTTAGTTCAAATCTTTGTATTCATGTTCAACAGGAAATGCCTTTGCTAGTAATCGTTTCAAATTATTTATCTCAATTCCCATCTTTGTCGGAAGCATCTTTATCCACATGCTAATCTTTCATTGTGACAATGCTTTTACTATAAGTGGATCCTAACCGTTTCCGTTATGTGAAATTGCCAATGAATGTTTAATGAAAACCACTCCCATTTCCTAATAGATATAAACCCTATGGTATTAACCGAGGCACGGTTATCAATAAATTGTCTACAATCTGGTGCGTGTACAACTCAACTCAAATCATAGTACCTGAATCAACTCAATTCAACTTAACGCTACTACAACCCGCGTTATATCACTGGCAATAGTTGTCTCTTCTTCGACATCACCCTCTCAAACGAACCCTACCAATATTCGCTACAGCGAGTACCGTTAAGCTTCCAATGAGTTGGCGGAATTTTTGCAATCCCACAGAAAGTAAGCCAGAAATTATTCCTGAACACTGCCAGCTAAGTATGAACTCTCAAACTAATTCCGTTGCCGTTACATTTAAAGAGAACATTGTTAGTTAATAATAGGTGGTAATCTCAGCAACATTATGTGAAAAAAAGACAACGTTAGACTTTGTACTACGTGTACCAAGTCAAACATCACGCTACAGATATGCTTTGTTTCACGTTACACATCAAACACATTACGTCTCGACAGCTCGAAACCTCATCATATGTAGCACTTCCGTCAACCTGTCACCACAATTACGCGGCGCTAACTTTCACAATCCTCTGTTAACTCGGAAGGCGAGTCTGTTAATTCGCCTTGCGCCGTTCTACTTCACAATTTCGTTGCACAAGTGGGGGATGCAACATCTTAGTTTGCTGTAATTCATCGAGACGGTGAGAGAAGTTAGGAGAGCAAGTCTCGAAATGTCGATGAGATTTTCGAGAAACGGCTTTCTGTTGATGATAGGAGAGACTGATAGGGTGGTATGTGGTGGTGTAGGAAGTCATTAAGAGCAAGAAGAAGGATTATAGATTTGAAGAAGAGGCTAGAAATGAGGGTGATGTAGTGTGAATAGGGAGTGACCATCAGGTTTGGAAAAGTGACGAAATATTATGCACTGGTCGTTACAGTAGTGAATGAGAGAAAATGGTTGTTAGAGTGCTGGAAGAGCTCCTTTTCCTTTCTCTCCTTCCCTCTCCCCACTCCCCCTCCTCCCTCCTCTCTCTCTCTCTAATTAAATTAGCACGTAAGGGGAAAGCACGTACTAGTTCGATTTCAATCTTTTACATATGAAATTCCGCGATAAAATCAAAATAGTAGTTCAATTAGCACACGTCCAGTAATTTTAATGGAAGGGACAGACGGAAAAGTAACGTGTAACCTGAAAGTGAGGCAGTTAGTTTGCGTGGACTTCCTCAACTATGCGTGAGGAATTCATTGGACATCGTAATAGACAGCTATTTCTTTAGCGTTACTGTCATAGTGAAATGCAAATTAAAGGATTTAGGTTTATGAATGCAATGCTTGACACTCGTTATGTTGACATACATGTGCTCTAGCGTACGTTTCTGTAGCTGCGATTTGGTGAAGATTGGATGTTTTAAATTTATCAACATACCATAACATGCGTTTTTATAACGTCATATACCATATACAGAAGATGAGAACAATGATGATTTTACTTATTCCAGGTATACTTATGCTGTGGCACACTGTTATAAATCATAGCTGGTAGGTTTCCGTCTGTTATTCATGGCAAGTGACGAAGAGTTGAGTAGCACAGATTCTGGAAAGCCTAACATTGAGAAAGCTCGCCTTGGCCCTCCCGATCGTTGGCTTTATTGTCCACCATTGGGCTCGGTATGCTTACTTATAAGTTGTTTCGTTTTTGCACTTGATTCCAGGTTAATTCCATGGCTAAAAATATCGAGGAAATTTGTAGCACTTCTCCTCCATCGCCATTTTCATTTGTCAGAATTATCCGAAATTTCAAGATCTCCTGAAAAATTAGGTAATTCACATTGGATGTTGTATAATTTAGTTGCCTGAAGTTAGGCATTTGCAGTATGCTGTTTAACGTTGCTTATAATATTTAAAAGGTTGTTTTAGAATCTTCCATCCATTCGAACCTTCTGAATATTGAGAATGGGAAAAGGTGGTGTATGAATAGATTTCATAAGCATTTCAGGTTATTGCAAAGCATTTCTTGCCTTTCAAAACTCCTCTTTGCAAACTGTATGATGAACAAATTGAGAAGAAGTGGCAATTTCATCCACGTGATGTTTTCGCCTATAAATTTCGAGGTGCTGAACCGGGAGCAAGAATTGGATTATGGATCGATCTCACAAAAACCAATCGTTATTACAGTAGAAAAGAAGTATCATAATTTTTTTATTTATTCATTATGGATCGATATCACAAAACCCATTGTTATTCGTAATTTATACCTCCAGTTATAACATTCGCTGTTCAAAATATGTTTTATAGCTATTATAAGGCGAATAAACGTTCATTTATCTTTTAGTTTTTCATATTTGTTTAGGTGGAGAAACGGAATTGTATTTATAAGAAGATCCCAATGAAAGGTCATGGCGAAGCACCGTCTGTTGCCGAAACGGAACAATTCTGTCGGATAGTGCGCGGATTTCTTCAGGTTAGTGATCGAATTTTCATGTATTATTGATTTTCATGTATTATTGCTTTTTTATTGCTACCGTTTACTTTTCCTTGTAGCTCTGAACAGATCTTAGCCCATGATGATATATCGATCATGGAGCAGTAAAGTTCTCCATTCAGATATTTTGAAAACATAATATTATCATCCTGGAAGAGTAGAATTTATGTGGACCCTGATGTCCGTACATTCCACATGGAAAGAAAAAAAGGCTGTATTTAAACATGATCCTAACTCTTCAAGACTAAAATATTAGAATTAATTCAAATACTTCTAGGCAAATCCAAAAGATGTAGTGGCGGTGCACTGCACTCATGGATTTAACAGAACAGGCTTCTTGATAGCAGCATATCTTGCCAGTGCCATGGATTGGGCAATTGATGCTGCCATTTATTCATTTGCACAAATGAGGCCAAATGGTATTTATAAGCAGCTGTATTTGGATGAACTTATGCAGAGATACGGTGATGAAGATGATAGAATTGAGGTTTCTTTTTTTTTACATTAATGCAATTTTCTTCTTCAAGTCAATTTTTCTTTAATATCTTCTTCTGGACCTCATAGTTATTTTTTTTTTTGGATTATAGGCGATGATTTTCGTGTAGCAGAAGCAAAATTGACTTGATATCCATTCCGGACTTTTTAATAATCCAAATTTGATGTGTTTAATCTGAACACTATGACAGTGATACTCGGTGGTCAAATCTGTTTAAAAAAAAGATAAATGAATTGCAGGCACCACCACGTCCTGCGTGGGAAAATGGCCCAGTTGATGGCGATAGAATTTCATTTGACGATGCTGGCAGTGGTCAGGCTGTCTCAAGTAACATTGATGAACGTATTAGTGTGTTTTTTCATTTATACTTTGTATTTGTTTCAGTTCTTTATTATTAGCCGAGTGACATTCCATACTATAAGTTGCATCAGCTTGCTTTTCATTAAAACTGCTATAGTTTCATATGGCAAGCCACAATCCAGATTTCAATGGTTTTTTTTTTAGCTTTATCAAGTCATCATTAAGAGTACTACTTGTAACTCCGGTCCTTATTTGCGTTGGAATAGTCATCAATAAAAAATTGACATTTTGAAATAATATCAACACTGGCTTGAAATCTCCGTGTTTGTTTCTAGGCGAGCCTAAATTTATGGATGGAGCAGTACCTAGTGTTAAATATGTATCAGATTCTGTGACGAGAACAATTTTACAAAATAAGGTTATTTTCGGTTTTGCAAACATTTTCTAAATTTTATCCTTCTGTCAATTTCTTCGCTCGATTTATTGGGCTTAATTAATTTGTTTTTTCAGTATATGATATTGTTATGGCAGTGAGTTTCTTTACTCTGTGTTTTACAATCAAGGCCTTTCCATCTTTATCTCCCGAATGAACGTTTTTTTTTTCCGATTTCTGAAATTCCTCATTTGCCCAAGTTTCCCTTAATGATGTCTAACCATTGATGGAATCAAATGATTGGAATGAATCATCCTGCATATTGCCGTGTATTAAACACATCCAATCTTGCTTTTTTATGTTTGCTTTCTGCCTATAGACGAGAAGTGCTACTATAATACATAAACCTCCGTATTTCTCAATCTTTCGACTCAAAGGAAAAAATAAATATAAAATGTCTTGATTTGCAGCATAAAATATAATTAACTTAGCATTTTTCTTCACTTATCTATAAAAACATTTAGATTCGAGATATGTGTGGTTATAAAAGAGATGGTTTTCCTGGCAGTCAACCGGTATCCATGGAAAGAGACAATTTACGTTTTTTGGCTGAGAAGAAATATATGGTCTCTTGGAAAGCCGATGGAATCAGGTAAATGAGTTATCCCATTGTTGCGATTGTCCATTGTTGTGCTTTCGCCAATTACATGCGAAAGCTTCGATGCAGATGGAAGATAAATTATAGTGAGGGCAGTTCGGTTGTCCATGTTCTTTTGAAGAGATATATGATTCTCGTTTGGAAGAGTTGAATAATTGAACTATGTTATCATCTACTAATAGATATGATTACCTTAGAGTTTCCTGCTAATGGATAGTTACTTTAGATATATGGTCCTTATCGATGATGAGGACTCAATATACGCATTTGATCGGAATAATCATGTATTTAAAATATCCTGCATAACATTTCCGCACAAAAAAGAATTTCGCCATATTCAAAATACTCTCCTAGATTGTGAAATGATAATTGAAAAGGTTCTGTTTTGGAGTTTACTTTCGTATAAATTTTTTAAAAACAGTTGCTTACAATAGCTTAGATTGCTGCAAAAGTGACTTTCAGAATCCCAAGGTATAATAATTTCAGTTAAGTCTTAAATGATGCTCGTCTACCAGTTGGTAGTGAGGTGTTACTTGAAGCATTCGTCAGATATTCAGAGTATCTTGCGTAAAATGGTTTACAAAATGGAACTAATGTTTTGATCTTAATTACAAGTAACATTATGTTTCTACAGGTAAAGGGAGAAGCTGGCGACATTATCGATGTTCCAAGATTGCTTATCTATGACATTATTAAATTCGAGGTTTCCTTTGGCTATATCATGCTGTTATTTTGTCGAAATTTAGTGGAGAATTTCCATCACAACCATAAGAAGAAGATATGATATTTGAACTAGCAGTAAAGAATGATTACTTTGTTTTAGGGACAGAATGTGGGCGAATGTGACTTCACTACACGTTTGTCATGTATTCGGGAAGATATAATTCAACCACGTCGTGATGCATTGAGAACTGGTCGTATCAGGCGAGAGAAGGAACCAATAAGTATACGTAATAAGGTATGATGAGGATATTCATTGTTTTGTTATTAACTAGCTTTTGTGACGGCTTAGTTCTTTCATTTCCGAGATTGTTTCTGCAGGATTTTTGGGAATTGGAAGCAGTTCGGAAACTGTTTGATGAAAAATTTACGAGAAATGTTGGGCATGAAATTGATGGCTTAATTTTCCAGTCGGTAAATGAAGTAAGTTTTGGAAGTTAAAGTACTTAAAGAAGCTGCTTGATTTTAAAGTTGTTCTGAATGCTGCTTCTTATTTTTGATTTATGTGAATCTCGAAATTTCTTTCAAGATAGAATATCCGCCTTTATTACGAATTAGAAGTCTTTTTCTGTAAATTGCAACGTGCTAAAATTCAGTTTATATTGTTGCTGAGCACACTGCTTTAAGTTAGCTTCGTGGAGTGTTGTTATGTAAATTTTGTAGTTATAGAATTTTAGTTTATAATTATTATCGGTTAGTTTTTAGTCTATTGCACTGAAATCAATGTATTTTACACTTTATAGCCATATCGTTGTGGACGGTGTGATACGTTGTTGAAGTGGAAGCCTCCATCCCATAATTCAATTGATTTTCAATTGAGGATAAGACGTATATCGAAACCCGGTGAATTGCCAGAACATATTGGCTTCCTTTTTGTACAAAATCAATCAGAACCAATGGCTCAGATGAAAGCTACAAAGAAGTTACTGCCGTATGATAATAAAATCATTGAATGTACTTTCAAAGTTAGTCTTTTATTTGAGTCGAACGTTACTAAAATACCATATGTTTCCGCGGAAAAAATAAAAAGTATTTATTGAACGGTCAGTACATGAAAATTAATCAGTGTAGTGGTAGGGTGAAAGTGACAGCGCTAAATAAATCCAGTTACTTGGTATAGCAAAAAAATCGGTAAAAGTTGCATCCACATACGAACATGATATGTGACTCGTTGAGAAACGTGCATGAGTTTCTTTGTCGGACATCAGTTTCCCGAAGTCTGCTGGCTTTCAAAATAATATTATTAAGATTTCTCGTATGCTAGTGGAATTTTATAAGTTTACAGTTTGGTTTTTTGTTGCTTTACATTTTAGAAAAAGTAAGTTTTTTCTCATGAACACTTCCAATTATTTGTTTTATTACAGGATGGCAAATGGGAGTTTATGCGTGAGCGTACGGATAAAAATTTGCCTAATTCGAGCAAAACAGCAAAAGCTGTCTATAACAGTATCATTTATCCGATTGATAAGGACTCATTGATAGCATTCGTTGATAAAATATGTATGCAGAAAACGAGAAGGAGACCTGCTCCACAGTCAGCTGATAATGTAATCCAGAAAATTCCCAAGACATAAACGGTTTACTCAGCTTTCTTTTATCTGAAATATCAAGAAAATATTATTGATTTGAAATATGATGAAATATTATTGAGTTTCAGTGAATACTTATTCCCTAGAGTTGCATCTCTTGCAGTTGCATTTCGAAAAATAACTTTTCAATGGTATACTAAACAAATTAGAAAGACATTTAGTCCAACTTTTAGGACTCTTATTCGTAAAGCTGTTGCTGTTTTTGTTTTGCGTATTTTTTATAAAGTGAAATGAAATGGCAGCTGTTTTTCAAATATGTTAGGTATTAATTATACTTGTAACGTCATTTCTTCATTTTATTGTATGTCTTCAAACTTCAGCGTTGAACTGTTAAACTTCATTAGTACATTAACAAGGAATGAAAGTGTGTGAGGTGTTAAGCTGCACTTTAGTTTCATCTTCCAAAAAAAGGCAACAAATGAGCCATACAGTGAAGCAGACTCGAAAAATATTTGCTTAATTACTTTTCAAGCGTTTTTATTGGAAAAGTGAGTTATTTCAAAAATTTGAAAAATGACCGTTGAGTTAACCTGTATAAAAAAAGTGGAAAATGACGAAAATGACCTGTACACTGCAAAACTATGGGGCATCAATTATTTTTTTGGGACAAAACTCAGTTTGGATTAAGCTTCGTAATTTTTATAAGCAAAATAGGCTTCAGTATCAAATACTTTAAAGTTTATAGTTGGTGTTTTATATCTTCTCAAGAGTTGGACAAGTTCATGGGTCAATTTACTGCTTAATTTTTGTGGATGTTGTAACACAATCTTGTTATTCGTACTGTGTTTAGATTCTAAATGTATTTGTAAAAGATGTTAACGGGTTTTTGCGTTGTTTTACAAAGTACGACCATTGCAGTTTATTACAATTTCACCGATAATATGATATTCCAATACTAAAAGTATTCATTTCTAGCAGTATTCGAATCTTCTGGATTCTATTTGGTAAATGCTGGCAATAAATAAATTTGGTTCGAGAAAAAGTCATATTCGTTTTGAGAAAACCTCTGTGTATATTTCTTAATTATGGATCAAATTCTGTAAACTATTATATTTTACATGATCGGATGAATAAATCGAATTATTTAACGATAATAAATAAGAAAGAGTTGTTGCATTCAAGTGGAAATTAGGGGAAAAAATTTAATGAAAACGGTTAAAAAGTTGAAGTGAAATGGAACATAAATTCTATACTATTTGATGAGAAATTTTGAAGAATATGCATGATGTTCCTCTAGATGCTCTTTGGTGTTAACTTATGGTCTAGGAAGCTAGGGAATCTTTTCTTTTAAAAAAAATCATAAAATTAATAACCGTAGGAGGTATTTTTGTAAATAACGTGAAATGTCCGTCATCTGTCATTTGCCATCTGCCAACCGATTTGTTACATGGTCTGACATTTAGCAGAAGATATATTAATCATTCAAGCGGGTTCTATTAACTGATGACTATCATTACATGATACACTGATTTAACAATAAACTAATCCATTTCTATTCGAGAAACAAGGTTCTAATCTTAAGCAACTTGGCAGGGTTTATCAGTGCATTCGATTTGATTTCTGCAAGCTGTTAAATGTCTTTAACATTTCATATGTCAATAAGCATGATGCATATGCTATTGATTTCTAAATCTCTTAATAAAGTAATCAAGAATTATCATTTTATTAATTTGTTTGCCAATGACATTAGTTTTAATTATTTCAAATCGTCTTTCAGATTACTTGCTTTTACGATGCCGTTATACTAAATCCACGAAATCCCATTTCTCCTTGGTACCACTGCTATAGCTTGCAGATTCATGATCTATTCAGGAATATGCTTACAATTTTAGTCTCTTAATAATTTCCTAAAATTAATCCGTTTCTGATTTTTATCAATACAGTTACATGAAATATAGAAAAAACTGAAATGTGTTGCCAAAATAAACTGATTGAAAATTCATAAAATCAAAACGATACCGTTATTTAACTTTTATGTGCTGTATTAGCAAATGAGGAGATTTGGTATGAGTTATTCGTTTTGTAAAATTGTAATTTCCACATTCATCTATGGTATCTAATGTTTGCTTCATATAAATGCAGAATATTTTACAGATAAAAGGTTGCTCATACCATAAAAGGGAAGGAGCAGTAGTATCTTTCATATGGTATACTGTAGCAATTTATATTTGCTTATATGTAAGTTTATTTTAGAAGGCAATTTTTGACTTGACTGTATTTTCTATTTTTGTAGCTAAATTATGACAAGTGGAAGCTTAATTAGGCAAATCTGCGCATCTTTCACCATATGTCAATAGAGGTTGACATGTCGTAATTACATGATGATATTCCGCATTTTGATATTAAATGAATTTCAGGCTTTAATCCATTGCGCAAATGTCATGTTGTCCTGTGATCATTAGTGTTATTTGCATTTCAGTCTTTTTAATCTTTCAAGTACCATTGAAGAGTACCAGAAATTTTATTCTTGTAATGGCTTTGTCCTTATTTATATTTCCATTAGTAATAGTCTTCATCATTTTATTTCTTATTCATACTGTATTGAAATTTGTCACGTATCTTATACTGTGGCAGTCGAAGTTTGCGGAACTGTTTATTTAAATGATAATTGAAATTCTAAAATATCTCTTCAAAGTGGAAAATGAAGCAATTATTGAAAAAATCATCACTAGGCGTTTTTTTTACTTTAAATTTTTATTTAATTATTGTTAATTTAAACAATTTATGCAATGATTTACAGGAATATTTGGCAAAATATGATTTTTTGAACATTCAAAGAGCCCACAGATAAGTATTTTAATTTGTGAAAGTACTTATTAATGAAATAAATTTCATACGCTACCTCATTATGTGCCATTGATAATTTCTTATTTTGATACTAAAATTGATATTTTAATTAGATTAAAAGTTATATGATTTGGATAACATATCGTTGATATCATTTGCGGTTGTAATTTAGATTGACATGTTTATGAAATAATTAATTTTAATTCCTAACAAATCTTCTAACAAAATTTAAAATAAAAATTTTTATCAACGAATTTTCTAAATATCTTCCATTACTTCTTTGCCATGCATTATTAAGTATATATAAGTCTGATTTCTTTGAATTCCTGCGAGTAGCTTTAAGATAAATATAAGGTAAATGCAGGTAAATATAGATAAATAAAGTAAATGCTAATCAGATTTGAACAAAATTTTCAGATTGTTTCAAAAATTTGAGGATTTAAAAATAATTGATAGATCTGATGGGACATGGTGTGGAGGAAATGATTTAAGGAATTCTAATTCGAATGGTTGGTAATACTTTGTCATCATTTGACCTTTTGAAGAAGCTATCGGGAAACAATCAATAGCTTATGAATAAAATATAGTGATGCAATGATTAACATTTCGACTAAACGGAATAGTGTAATGATTAACACTTTGACCTCTCGTGGATTATGCTCAGCGTGACCTATGTGGTCATATATAATAATGAAAGTTAAGATATTTTCTAACCTTGAATTTAGTAAACTGATAAAATGAATCATTAGAAGCTAAAAAATGATAAGTAACAATTGACTTTTAATGAAAGAAATCGTACTTTTTGATCATTTTAAAATTATTTTCTAAATCAATAATCCTGAATTGAATGTTTCAGATTCAAAGAAAATATACAAATGGAAGAATAAAAATTTGACATATTCGATAGGTACTGTTCCTAAGGAATTATCTCGAAGAATAGTAAGGTATGATAATGGTACTAAGGTAAAGTTCGATTTATTTCTTTTCTATTTAATTTAACAAATTTTAACACATCCATGTCTCTTTAGTAATAATTTTCATTTTAAGGAAAATTTTAGGGATGTAATGAAGAGAGCTTTTGAAGTGTGGTCAACAGTGACACAATTGAATTTCCTCGAAGTACCACAGAATGGCAATATCAAAATCGATTTTGTCAGGGGAGAACACGGAGATGGTTACACTTTTGATGGGCCAGGTTTATCACTTTTGTTTTTTTTTTTTTTTTTATT